TGTGGGGAAGGTGGGTTTGGGGTAGGAAGGGCCATTCCCTGCCCTGGCTAAGCAAGGAGCTGTGCACTGTCTTTGGGGGCTGCTCTCACCCACAGGGTGCCCCCATCCCTGGTATCAGCACCTTTCCTGCCCCAGGAGTGCCTTGGCCATAGTGAGGCCCCTCAGAACAGCTCAGGAGCCTTTATGGGATCACTGCTGAAGGAGAGCAGTGCCCCTGCTGAGGTCTGTGCCCTATCACCCACCCACGCTGCAAAGGCAAGATTAGAGGCTGCATTTTTGGGAGGGGCAAGAGGAGACCTGAGGGCTCAAAAGCTGGGCAAAGCCTGGCACAGGTCTCCTCCTGTTTGCCTTCTGGATATTTCAAGTGCAGACCCACCCTCTGCAGGGATGTTTCCCTTTCCTGTAATTCCTGTCCTTGGTGAGAAGGCTTCCCTGACACCATGGGAAGGGCTGTGCCCTCACTCTCTTCTACATCAGTGCATTATTAAGAAAGGTGAATTGCCACCTCTGCTCCCAGGCCCAGAGGGGGCTGACAGGGGCTGGAGGTGCTTCTGCTGAGGTCCTGGGCTCCCAGGGTGGGGGACAAAGGCTTTGCCCCCACTTGGTCCCACAGGAGGGTGATGGGGTCTCAGGAGGACAGCTATGGCGTGGGAATCCCATCATGGATGGGAGGCTGCTCTCTGAGCCCACAGCCAGGTGCTGGGGCAGCAGTACTGGATCAGCCCTAAGTCACTGCCTGGGGGGCTGCTCCAGCAGCAGCTCTCAGGCCTCCCTTGCTGGGTGAGCACCAGGGGTCTCTCCTGCCCAGGCTGGCACTGGTGGCACCCCTGCTGCCATGCCCAGGGCCTGCTCTGCTGGCAGGGCTGGTCCCTGTGAGCTGCATCCCTGCAGACATTCCAGGGCAGGGTCCTGCAGCAGATGACATCCCGTGTCCCTACAGTGCTGGCAAAAAGGCTCTGGGGAACGAGTGTTTGGGATTTTTCCTCACTTTAAATTTACAACAAGTTGAAGTCTGCTTGTTAATTACTGCTGTGATTGAATTTGAAGCCCTTCCCTCCCTGCAGCAGCGTGGTGCAGCGGGTGCCCAGGCAGGAGGTAACAGCAGGGATTGCATCAGCGGGGCAGCACCAGCCAGTGCAGGGGCTGCTGCAGCTCACACGTGCTGGGGGATGCACTGGGGCTGGGGGCACTTTGGTGGCACCACATCAAGGCACAGGTCTGGTGATGGCTGATGAGCAGAGCCGGCTGCTGCCTGTGGGCAGGGCTCCCACACCTCACTTGGCGGTTTATTTTTAAACCTGGCTTGTTTGGGGCATGCTTTCTGTTCTTTCTGTCTTCTCTGCCCAGACTACTCTAGCAGGAGTCACTTCCTCCCAGACTGGCCCACAGGGGTCAGGAGCCACCTGGGCTCATCCTTACCCAGTGGTGAGCACCTTTGCCATGCTGGTGCCATGCAGGAACCTGTGAGTCACCACGGAGCGATTGCCTCACCCGCTAATGACGCCAGCCCCGGCCACAGTCAGGTTTCACTTTTGTTCTCCTACCTGGAAATCCCATACCTGGGATTTCTCATTCCAAGCAAGCTTGAGTGGCTGCAGCCTCACAAGGAAAGGGTTTCATCATCACCATCTGTGCTGCTTTCCTGGAACAGAATCATTGGCAGATGATGATGCCTCAGGTTTTAGCTTTTCTATTTTTCAGATTCTGTGCTGCTTTAGTGTGTAATTCTGAGCTTCATATTAGGGGATGGTGAGCTCTTTTCACAGAGCAGGGAGACAAAACAATTCCTTCTCTAGCTGGGGACCAAGGACACATGATCCAAATCTCAGGCCCAAGAGCATAAACAACATGGACTGAAGAGAGAAAACCAAGAAGGATGGCACTTCAATTATCTCCAATATGTAAATGGACTAGAACTTACAAAAGTGTGAGACTCTGTGACCAGTTGTCCATTTTGTGACCATTTTGGTTCATGGTATCCAAAATGGTATCCAAGGGTACAGCCTTGGCTGGGCTCTTGTGCTGCCCAAGGTGCATCCATGGAGGTCTTCTAATAAATCCCTGCTTTATTCTTTAACTCTGTCCAGCCTTTGTTCTAGGCCAGCCTTCACAGGGCATCACTGGGACTGGAACACTGATTGTGGTGGCTCCCCAGTGCCCTGCAGACTCTGTTGGGCACAGTGTGATGTCCCCAGCCCGTGCTGGCTTTGGGGAACTCTCCACTCCAGGGCAGGAGCTGGCCCTGGCACGGTTTGGAGGAGCTGTGGTGAATGCAGCCATGGTTGGGTGGGCCATGGTGGAGCGTGACATTGCTGGGCAAGACACGCACCAAAGCTCAGGATGGGCTTCATCCCATGAAGAAAAAGCCCTCAGAGCTGCTCAGCCAGGCCCCTGGGGGCTCAGCTGTGTCTGAGGAGGCACAAATCTCTGAGCAGGGAGATCCTCATCCCTCCATCCCAGCCTCCATGGGTGCCGGGGGCTGCGCTCATGGCCTGGCTTCACCTCGCAGCTTTAGCTTCTCTTTGGTGCCTCTGAATTTCCTTTTGCATGTGTGAAGAGATCAGGTTTCGCTTTACTTCTCCAAACAGAAACGACACCTGGGAGAGAAAAGCCACAGCCGTGGGAAACAGGAGCCCAAGCTGTCCCACGAGGATGTGATGCTGCCCTGTGACCCCACGGGTGACCCAAAAGTGTCTCGGCAGAAATCGGCAGTGTGGGACTGTGGTTGGTGGTGGATCAGCCCTCTCTCATGGGGGCCACATTTATTTTCCATCTGTTGGGATTTTCTGCCAAAGTGCCCTCTATTCCAGCTGAGCTGTGCCTGTTTGGATGACAGAAGTGGTCTTATTTATGCTGGTTTGGGCTTGTATTTCACAGCTATACTGATCATGAACTTTGCTGTGTTGAATAAAAATTAATCTCCTGTGGCTTTCTTTAATGGGAGAGAAAGGAAAGACAAGGCCATTGTCCTGCTCCCCAGAAGGGCACACAAGGGACCCCAGCCCACACCAGGGCTCAGGCTTTAATGACTGACCTCCCCTAAGCTGCTGCTGTGAGGGAGGCTGGCTGGGAGCCTGGTTCAGTGGCCACTTCCATGACTGGATGGAAAACCTGTGCCCACCACGCTCTGGGGCTTTAGCACCACGTTTTCCTGTCCTGGCTCTTCTCCAAGATGTGTCTGTGTCCAGTTTGGACAAAGTGGAACGAGCCACTGTCCAATCCATGCTGCCCCTTCCCATTCTTTGTCTCCATCATGGTTTTCCAGGAAAAATCAGAGCCCTTTGGGATGCTGCTGGAGCAGGGGAAGGGCTCAAGAAGGGCTGGATGGACCCTGTGAGACAACAGCAGCTCCTGCTCGACCTCTTCATTAATTGAACATGAGCCAGGAAAGTGTTCTGGTGGGAAAGAAGGTGAATGGTATCCAGGGCTGCACTGGGAGGAGTGTTCCCAGAAGGCTGAGGAAGGTGATTCCTCCCCTCTCCTCAGTGCTGGTGAGGCCACTCCTGAAGTTCTGCGTGCAGTTTTGGGCTGCTCAGTGGGAGACAGACATGGCAGGGACTGGAGGAGTCCAATCAAGGTCAGGAAGGTGATGCACAGGAACATCTCTGCTATGAGGAAAGGCTGAGAGAGGAGGCTCAGGGGCTCATGGTAGTGTGAGTGCACAGCACAGGCTGAACCAGGGAAAGTCCATCTGAACACAAGGAAAACAGACTCTGAAGTGTCTGCTCCATCCCTGGCCACTGTCCTGGGCAGCCTGTGCCAGCTGATCCTGCCACAGCAAGGGTTGGGCTGCATGGTGTTGAGAGGTCCCAGCCCATGAGCACATCCATGCCACTCTGCTCACCCTCAGGGGTACCTTTCCACATGCTTCCACAAGAACTTTTCCCCTTTTCTTGGACTCTTTGAAATCAGCACTTTAGTTCCAAATGAACATTAAAAATTGGGTCCTCCTGGAGTGTTCTGTGGTTGCTGTGTAAGGCCCTGCAAAGTGCATTTATGCCTTTTACTTTCTTACTGTCCCTGCTTCTTAGATCCAGGCATTGCCCTAATTTTTTATATTTAATGCTTGATGGACTCATGAGACTAAAAGCTCAGCAGTGACCACAGGAGGTTCCCTTGATGGAGGGACAGTTTGCTGAGAGGTAGATTCCAGCTGTCAGCAGAGGGGTGTCCATACACCCTATTTGTGTCTCCAGGCTGAACAGGGAGGAAACCCCAGCCAGCTCCAGTGGCAGCCCTGCTCATTTTCATCTCCCTCCACAACTATATCCCATCTGGAAAACTTCAGGTGGAAGTAAGTGCTTCTGCCTTCACCTTTTTCCCTGCTGTGGTGGTGAACCTTGTCCCTCAGATAACACAGCCATAAAAGCTCCCACCTGCAGTAGTGCCCACTTCTGGCTGCTGCTTATGGCCCATGCCTCCCCCATGGCCTTTTCCACAGGGAAACTGAGGCCTGAACTCCTGCTGCCACTCAGGAGGCACCAAAACCCCTCCTGTCCCCGTGAACCTGTTGCCCCCAGGTGTTTCCCACAGCTTTCAGCTCGGGGTGGGGATCAGTCATGCTGGTGTCCCCCCACTTGCCAGCCCCAGCCCCAGCATCCCCCGGCATCCTGGGCTAAGGCAGAGCAGGCAGGGCTGGAGGCAGCAGGGCAGGTAACAGGGAGGCGGGAGATTCCCTGCACCACTTTCATTTTCTTGTTTCCAGCTGCACCAGCCCTGGGTTTTCCTGCCAAGATGAAAGCAGCAGGTAGGAATAAAAAGCTGGAGATGGGGCAGCAAGGCAGTCACAGCGAGCAAGACAAAGCAGCTCTCCAGGACAGCCAGAAGCTCAGCAGCTCCACGTCTGAACAAGGCACCTGCAGCCCCTGTCAGGCACCTCTGCATCTGGAATTCAGCGGATCCTGCCCGGAGTCCTGCAGTTCATCCTCTCTGGCATCCTGCACCTCAGCCTCCTCACCCCACCGCACTCCATGGCCGGCTGTCAAGCTTTCCTTGCCAAGATGTTGCACCTCGGCCTCGCCCCACTGCTCGTGCTGGTGCTGGGGGTCAGCCTGGGGGCTGCCTTTCCCCATGGCATCCCGGGGAAGGGCTGCAGGCTGTCCCAGTACCAGAGCATTGCACCCGAGCAGCGGCACGCTGTGCACAGGATGAGAGACGAGTTTGTGAGTACTGCTGGCAACGGGGGGCTGTGGGCTGGCAGGGGGCAAGGCACAGGGGATGCTGAATTCAAGACCTGAGTGACAAGGTGCATGTTTCCTGTGGCAGTTTGGGGATGAGCAAGATGCTTTCCAAGGGTGTTTGGGGACATGAAGGATGCTCAGCTGGCCGGGGTTGTCCAACATAGCTAGGAGTCACCATGAGAGTTTTTCAGTCTCTCTCTTGGTTTATGCCTGCAGGAGACCACCCACAAATGCAACACCAAGCTCTTCCACCGCAAATGGAACGCGGTGAACTTGCCGGTAAGAGCACGGTCATGCTGTAAGGGGGCACAGCTCTCCTGTCTGCTGCTCCCACCTCCACCTGCACCCCCGGGCGGGTCTGTGAGACCCCATCCTCCTAATCGGGTCCCTAACCCCGACACTCTCCCCCACAGGTGTCCGACCGAGTGCTGCTGGTGGCGGCCGAGCTGAACCTCACCACGGCCATGCTGGGGCTGCCCGCTGCCCCCGCCTTTGCCGAGCTGTGCCGGGAGCCCCTGCACTTCTTCAGGAGCGCCCGGGAGGCCGTGCAGGGCTGTGTGAGTGCCTCCCCCGAGCCCTGCGGGCCGGCTCTGCCCTGTGGGGCCGCTGCTGACCCGGCCGCTCTCCTTTGCAGGTGGATCCTTCGCACCAGCCCTCGGGCAGGCTGCGGCACTGGCTGCACAAGCTGCAGAACGCCATGCGAGCGGTAAGTCAGGCCGGCGGGCTTCTGCGGGCTTTTGGGGCGTCAAAAGGCGCCTCTGCAGAGCTGACCCAGCCCATCTCGCCCCGCAGGAGAGCGCCGAGTGCCTCAGGGCCACCACCATCCTGCACGTCCTGCAGGTGCTGGACAACCTGCGCTGCGCTGCCCTGCAGGACAAGTGCTGAAATGCCCTCGGAGCCAGCCTGCAGCATCGCCTCTCAGGGACGCCCCCAGAACCGGGGAAAAACGACTGCACTGCGCTGTTACTTCTTATTTAACCTATTTCACCTATTTAACCCTTCTTCTCACTCATGCGAGCTGAGGAAACAATTTTTTTTTCTTTATTTTTTTTATGGTCTTTTAAATTATTGGCTCGGGTCGGGATAATGCCCTTCCTGAAAGAACGTGAATATGCGTATTTATAAGGTACCTTTGTTTTTCTGGTTCTTAAAATGTTTTTAAGGAGGTCTATTTTTTTTACCTGCTATTTATTAAAGAGTGTATTCTGCATACTTGCTTGTATGAGTTATTTTCTTATGTGCTATTTAATATGAAAACTAAAGTAGTTAACTAAATAAGCGGATAAGCGGATAAGCTGCCACTACGTGTTTTTAGTATGCTTTTCTGCAATATCACAGCACAGGTATCGCCTGCACATCCTTGCAAGGACATTGCCCAAAAAGAACCTTATTTTGGGGGGCGGGGAGAGGAAAAAAGCCTGTGTGGGATGTTAGGTTTTCTGGAGAGCTTTCACAGATTCTGTCGCTCGGCCGCGCCCCGTGTGCTGCCACCTAATGCCGGGAGCAGCGCCCGGGGCAATGAAAACCCGTCCGGAGGGAAAAGCCCTCGGGGCAGCACCTCCCAAGGGCGGGGAGAGCCCCGAGGGCGCGGCTGGAATTTCCTATGGAATGCGGGGTTCGGCTTGTTCTCCCCAAAGCCGGGCTGCGGGAACCTCTGCTCTGTGAGCTCGGGCTCCCAGCAGGCAGATGCCACGAGGGGAGAAATGACGATGAGGACTCCATCTTATCAGAAGGCTAATTAATTACTTTATTATACTATATTATTCTATATTAAATTACCCCATAAATCTGCCAAACACTCAACTCAGCTGCCCAGAATCTCGTGGTTATCAGCTGGCAGTCCCGACACACACACATGGATTCAATTGGCCAGTGAATCAAAACACTCACACCAGAATCCAATCACCAATTGCATTCAGGTAAACAACCTTCCACAATGCATTCCACTTTGGTACAACACAGGCGCAGCAAATGACAAAAGAATTATTTTTTCTTTCTCTGAGGTTCCTTGCTTTGATTCCCAGAAAATATCCTTGAAAGAGAAATGTGGCCACAACCTTCTGGCCCTACTCCCGATTTCACCCCTGGCTTCTGAAGGCTTGTGAGAAATCCCTCTCTGGGATTCCCTACCTACAGCCAGCATTTGTGAGAGGAGGATGTTTCTAGGACATCCAAAGCTGGGTTATCCAAACGATACATGGATCTGGAGGGAAAAGCCTAAGAAGGAAGGAAGGGCTCTAAGCAGCAGCCCTGTGCTGCTTTAAGCAGATTTCAGTAAGTTCAGTTCCAGTTTGGTTTAGGGAAGGGGCAGTGGCATCACTGCAGTGAATGTTTAGGATGCAGCGAGTATTTATTTCAGTAGCTGTCTGCCAAAATTCCCGTGTTTCCAGCTCTGCCTTCTGAGCTGGGTGCTGCTTTCATGGCTAAGTTTTGGTTCCCTTATTTAATGGAAGAGCTTAAGTTTATGCACCTGTTTTACAGCTTTAACAGAACAGTGAAAATTTCTCAAGTTATTGGGCAGTCTAGTTACGATACCCAGGTATTCACTCTCTGTTACTAAACACACTCTTAACAATAATTTTTTACACAAATTCCATCTGGTGGACTTGTGCTATATGATTGATATTTCTATGTGATTGATGTTATAAATAACAAATAAAGTTATTGGCTTTTGCATTTATGTATTAGCTTTTGCAAGTTATTATTGATCACAAAAATCCTGATATTGTACAATTTGTAATTACTGCTGCTGATGTAGTATAATCTGTCATTTATGTATAGCTTTTATAAATAGTACTGTAATGTACACTATCTTAGACTGTAGCATAATGGACTGTGAAATGTTAAAATGCTTTTACATGTAACTAGCTCAGAAAATGGTGTAAAATAATTAAGTGATTTCCCACATTAGGGACTATCTTATCTGAAAGACAAGATAACAGAAACAGAAACCGGAGCACCAAGTAAAAGAATTTATTAACCCTCATTATCAGGGAGTGAAAATACAACAGAATGGAACCACAAGAAGAAATAAAATACATTAGTTTAATCTACAAGATAGCATGAGCACAAGTCAAAGGTTAAAACCAAGCAAAAGAACATCTAAACTCAAAGGAATGTTTGAATATGTATAAACTCTTATGAATATGCATGTATTCCCTGTAATGTAACAGTTTATAGAGAACATGGTTGAAGTTTTTGTTTATTTTTTATTTTGGCAAATAGCCAAGCACCCCAGCACTGGATTTTATCCCTTTTATCCCTTAATAAACTTTTATAAAAAATTTAAATAGTGAGTCGTGATTGACTGTTGCATATTGATCTTATTGACATTTTGATTGACTATTCCATCCGATTCTCTTGTCCTCCTCTCATCTGCTGCTGGAATGTAGAAATAGTAGATTAATTTGGGTAGATTAGTAGATTAATTTAATTTAATTAATTGTAAATTTAATTAATAGTAGATTTGCCTTAACCAAGGCAAACACTGCAGCCTGGCTAAGCTGCGCTCCTGAAGTTCCCCTGAAAATCTGTGAAAAATGTGTATTTTATGATAGGCTTTTCGCAAATATTCCAATGAATATTATACGTGTTGTGTTAGAAAGTAATGCTGTATTAATTCTCTTAAGTAGTGTGGTAAATATAGTTTTAGGTTATAACATGTTAAAATAGAAACTATGCTATGTAGGATACTTTTTTCTAAAGAAAGGACTTGCACAGATAGCTGCCACAGGACACCTGAATCTTGCTGATAAAGAGAATTTATTGCTCCATTATCACAAGAAACGAACTTCTTCCCACCTTGCTCAGCCATGAACATGCTGTTAGGATTCAGAGGAAGAAGCTGACACTGACCAGACAGAATCCTGTGTTTGAATGGAATTTATGCATCATGTATGAGATGTATGAATATGTAACAGGTTATTGTTTTTAAGGGTTAATCCTCTGTTAATGTGGGTCCTTTTTTGGGCTTATTTTGCCCGAAAAAGGTACCCGGATGTCCGTAACTCTTTGTTTCTATTGTCTCATATTGTCCTAATTCAAATAGTCCAAATTATTATTACTCTAATTGCATTACTATTTTTATAACCATTTTATTATGATTAAACTTTTAAAATTTTAAAAACCAAGTGATTGGCATTTTTCACACAATCACTGCTTTTTCTCCCTATTGGTGTGTTCCTATTTGCCGTAGACTCAACATTAATTTATATCATGGCTGAATGACCTCCCTTTCCACAGCAGTGTGAGAGGACAGGAAAAGAATGGAATTTATTGGAAATTGCTCGCCAGGAAGGTGGTGGGATCGCCATTCCTGGGGGTGTTTAAGGAATGACTTGTTCCTCAAACGAGGAACCAGGAGGTGTTCAAGGACGGGGCACTCAGTGATGGTGAAGATCAGTCAAAGGTTGGACTCGGTGATCTCAGAGATCTTTCCTAACCTTAAGGATTTTGTAATTTCCTTTACAAAAAGTGATAAGATTCGGCCTGGGGACAGCTAATTCCAACGATATCAGCTACCCTCAGGCACTGGGGCTGCCGCTGAGGGGCCCCTCGGGGCAGCGCCAACATGGCACCGCCCTCCCGGCGAATAACGGCCTCCCCGCCGCCCCGCCAAACTCTCGCGAGATCGAGGCGGGGGCACTGCCCTGCCCCGCCTGCGCTCTCGCGAGATCTCGGCTGAGGGAGGAGGAGGAGGAAGAGGAGGGAAGGAGGAGCCGCCGCCGCTGCCCCGGGCCGGCGCCGGGGATGGTGTTGGCCGCGGCTGCCGGGCCCTGACGCCTCGCTCAGGTACGTGAGGGCTGTCCCCCTTCACTCAGCCCCCGGCTCGGGCCTGGAAGCTCCCGCTGTCCCCACATCTGCCGGCCCGCCAGGCCTCGCTCCCGGCGGGGTCCCCCGGCCCCACAGCCCCGTGCCTTGCCCCGGCTCCGGGGAGCTGCAAAATTCCCCGAACTCTTGTTCCCTTCCTTAGAAATCAACACAGCTCCTCTCCCTTCCTCCTCTGCAAAGCTTTACCTGCGATTTGAGAGTACTTTCTTGCTGGGTTTCACTAAAATTTGGGGTGCAGCCGAAGCGAGTAATTTCTTTTCCAGACTGGTCATGCTCCTCTTGGGTTTCCTGGTTGTTCGGGACAAGTTGTGAAGGTATTTAGGCATTTAATGTCCATCGAAGTTGAATTTATTTGAAATCAGCGCCTAAAAGATGGGGGTATTTCTGAGGGAACAGCTGGTCTGCAGCTTACAGGCATTTTTTCAGTGTTGTTTTTTTTTCCTCTTTTGTTTTAATTTGTGGCCGCGTTCATTATTTTTCAGACCCCTACTCCCCTCTTCTTTTTTTCTTAATTTTTTTTTTTTTTTGTAAGCAGCTGTTGTTTCTTCCTTCTCCGGGGAAAAAGGGACTGTTTTGTTCTGCTTATTCTTTCTTCCTCCGGGGTAAAACCTGCCGTTTGTTTCGGTCCAGCCAGCTGGATTTTACATTCACCCCGCACTGTACTTTTGTTTTTGAACATAAATCTCGAAGCTGACACACACATCACTTGTCAGCGTCAGGGAGCTTGACCTTCGTGTAGATCTCGCCAGTTTCCTGCTGTTAGGGACTGCTGTGAAATACATTATTTCTTTTTTTTTTTTTTTTAAGCTTTTTTGCTCGCTTTTCTGTTAAGCTTTTCTCAACTTCCACGTAAAGATTATACCCTGGCTCTTTGCATGTTTACCCCTTTATTTGGTTGAATTAATTAATATGATTTAAAGAATTAGCAGTAGCTGTAGCCCCCATTTTAACTGCTGGGGAGCCTGAAGGGTTTGGATTTTGTCAGCATTGTGTTGCTTTTAGCCAAAATATTCAAGAAGGAGGCGTTGCCTTCAACTGGGAGTAGCATCAAAACAAATGAAGCCGTGACAGATTGGATGTTCTGGCTTCGTGGCTTTGGCATTGTGACCGCCTTTCACTGTAATTAATTCAGCAGTGTGGTTATTTTCTAGAGTGGATGGCTGGCACAGCAGAAGCAACTCTTCATTTCTCTTATTTGGTCTCTGTGTGTCAGGTTTTTGCCCTGTGAGGAGTGCAGCTGTACAGATGATTGCAGTTTGCAGCCTGAATCCCTTTCCTGTGCCCTGGGAGCTGTCTCAAAGCTCACTTCCTAGTCAGAGAGTTGTTCCAGGAATCCCTCCTCTTCCTCCTTTTTGTTTTTTTTCCCTTTTGGCCAGCCAGGAGGCAGCTGTGAGTGTTGCCTGTGAGGTGTGCAGGAGAGTGGGGGGATTTTCACAGCTGTTTTTCAGCAGGAGCAGTGTCAGGCAGTGAGATGGGGGTGTAAACACTGATGTAAGCCTGACCTCTCTCCAGAAAACTGAATTTGCTCTTGGCACCTCCCTCAGTGCTCCCAGCCCAAACAAGCTCATTCCTCAGGTGCTGAGGGCATCCCCACCTTTATTCACCTGTTGTGATCATCCTTCACTCCTTATTCAGCTCTGACCTGGAACACAGGCTGGGCAGAGTTAAAGAATAAAGCAGGGATTTATTAAAAGGATTTCCTCCATGGATCCACCTTGGGCAGCACAAGAGCCCAGCCCAGGTGAATCCAAAATGGTCACAAAACGGACAACTGGTCATGGCGTCTCTCACTTTTGTAAGTTCTCCATTTGCATATTGGAGTTAATTGTCCAGTTACAGCTTTAGGCTATGAAGTCCCACCCTCCCTGTTTTTTTCTCTTCAGCCCACATTGTTTATACTTTTTGGGCCTGGAGCTTGTAACAGTTGTCCTTGTTGTTGCTCAGGAACACATAATCAGGGAATGATTAATGCAGGTGCTTTAATTGGAGAGCTCTGGGTGTCTGGGGAAGACAAACCCCAGTCTGACTCCAACGTGGGTTTGGGATGAACCCCCATCACGATGTTTTATATTCTATCGTTCTATAACTTAAATATTAATTATCAAAATTACTTTGTTCTATTGTGTACATTGATTTCATCCAAGCATGGCTTTCTCATAACCCCCTCAAACCCCTTTCTCATGATTCCCCTTATGACTAAACAATAATTGCATCTAATTACTAAATCATCATCACATCTAACAATCATATCGCTTATCATATACTGATAACACAGGTGCAGTTTCACATGATCTGCAGCAAACACAAGGCCTAACATTTACCAGGGCCTACCCTTAACATTTTCTTAGGGCCTACTGAGCCTTTCTTTCTAGCTCCCTGAATTTTGTGATTTAAAATCTTTTACCATCACTTGGACAAGCTGGAAAAGGATTGTTGTGTCTGCCTGCCTTGTGAAGAGAGCTTGCTGACGCTTAGTGTGTAACTCAGAGTTACGCACTAAAGCCGCAGAGGATCTGGAAAACACAAAAGCCAAACTTGGGGCATGCCAGCAGCCCTGATGTGTTTCCCCCTGCCCCAGGTGAGTGTCCCTGTCCCTGCCCTGTGTTGCAGGTGGCAGCAGCAGTGATGCTAACTCTGGCAAGCAAGCTGAAGCGGGATGACGGCGTCAGAGGCCCCCGAGCGCCCAGCGCAGCGTCCGACTCCACTCGCAGGGTGTCTGTGCGGGACAAGCTGCTCGTTAAAGGTGAGGCAGCACAGGGAGGTGTGCTGGCCTTTGCTGCTTCTGGCTCTGCTGCCAGAAACAGCACTGCATTGCATAGAAGTTCCCACAGGAATTTCTGAAATTATCTCTATGATATTGCAGCAGCTCTCTGGTCACAGAGAGCAATAAACGCTTTCCCACTTTACATCGTTCTGGGAGAGGCTGCACAAAGCTCAAAGAAAAGTATTATAAACATTTCTTACCTGAACTTGCTGCACCTGCTATTGTGAACATGTGGAATATGTTATGGAGATTTCCTTACCAAAGAGTGGTTTCTTAATTGGCCAATGGTGATGGTGGTTTAATTGAAGGACCAGTTAGATCCACCTGTAGCAAACTAGGGTCTAAAAAAATTTTATTGTTAAATCAGAGACAGCTCTTTCCTTCACTTATTTTTTTTTTTTGTAGCATAGATAATATTATATGTAAAAATCCATAGATGCTGACAGCTTGCAGTTACTGTGGAATTAAAGTCAGGTTCAGTCCCTCTGGTGATAGCTGAATGTTAGAGGCAAAGGAATGTGTTGTTGAGGTTGAAGTTTCTGCTGAAAATCTCCAGTAGCAAATACTCTGTTGTTGATGTTGAAGCTGCCACTGTTGGGATTCCTGCCAGTCAGAGGAAATCCACATTTCCTGTTCCTGTTCCAGGATGATTTGAGGCTGACATGGCTGTCATTGCCTGGCTGATATTACCTAATAGCCCTACATATGTTTTTTTTCTAAATTAGGGTAAATTCTGTCAGATATCTGGAGCAAGGTGTCACTGCTGCCTCAGTGCACTGGGAGTGCCTCAGCTGGATTGTGGCAATGTTGTATCCACAATTTTCTCCCTGTATTGTCTTAAAGACTGGGAAGTTTTACATGCTTTAAATCATGATTGTGATCACTCTTACACTTCCAATTTGGAAATCCTTATTTAACTTCAGTTCTGAGGGGGAATGATTCAGGCAGCAGAAGTAAGCTCTTTAACCCAGCTAAGCACAAAGCCAAATTACTAAATATATATAATCTGAGATTTTCCCTAACCCACAGGTATAGACTTGAGGGGGAGATAGCAGTGTGAAATAAATATTCTATATGTGAGGGGGCAAAGAAATTTTACTCTGTGCTTACAGCAGTCATGGTTTTAAAAACCATACCCAAGTGTGCAGGGGAGGAAAAGAATGTAATCTATAGAAAAATTGTATTGACATTGTAATTTTATTTGCTGTGGCTGTGATGGCAAACCAGCTATTTAAATAAAACTGAGTATTAAAACAACTAAGTAAAACTAAGTATTTAAACTAATTGAGTGTTGAATGAGTCTCAGTCTGACAAATGTTAAAAGCAGGTCAGTGCTCACATGGATCTAAACAAGTATTGAGTGGTGGATCCTGAGGTTATGGCGCATGGAAATGAGTGGTGGAGGTCACTTAGAGAGTCACCATTAAAGGCATTGGTGGAAATGTGCCTTAATAGAAATCTGCTAAAGCACAACAAAGGTTGGTAGGCATCCTGCTTACTGCATAGGTAATGCAGGTAAAGGAAAATCAAATTAGAGTCAGTTTGGAGTGATACATGCAGAGGCTGGAATGAAAAGAGGAAAGGGAAAAGGTAAAGGGAACTCTTGGTTGAGTCAGGAGGTTCTGAGTGAAATCCCTTCCTTTCTAAACTCCTCAGGGAGGAGTCTCAGGCTTGGACTCAACAGTTATGTGTAAAAGATTTAGCAGAACTTAATAATAAAAGCACTTGAGTGTTACATTAATTATTAGTGAGTTATAAACATAGTATAGATTCAAGATAATAAGATGTATATAGTTTTATAGTGTGTTCAAGTCAATGCACACACATACACAAATATATGGATATAAATATACACACAAATGTGCAAAGATAACCCACACATGTATGGAAATGTATGTATACATGGGAATACATATTAAAATTTTCCCTCCCAGAATCAATGAAATAATCCTGTTAATCCCTTTTTGAGGATTGCTGGAATTTTCTGAAATTCAAGTGGGAGTGATAGCATTTCTTTCAGGCTGTAATTCAGCTAAAGAATGTTTAAAAAGCCATCAGGGAATGACTCATTATTCCTGCTCCCATCTCCCACCTTGTCCAGGCAGCAGGAGTTCCTGGTTCAGGAATTATCCATCACTGATAGGAATTGCTGGGATTGCAGAGCAGAGGTTGGGATTGGGGATGCAGCACCACAATTCACAGAAGAGCTGTCAGTGTGCTGAGGGTGATTTCTGGCTGAAATGGGACTGGCAGGAGAAGCAGATCATTCCAGTGTCACTGCTGGAAGTGACAGGGAAATGTAGTGGGAAAGGCTTTCTGGGGATGTTCTTTTAAGTTGCTCAAGCTAAATGTCAACCTTTTGTTTACAAAAGTTTCTGGAATTTGCTTCAACACTGAGATAGATCAGCTGCAGAGACTGAGAGGAGTGAACTTGTGATGCTGAAGGTGTTTCTAGGCCATGTAGAGATGGCAGGAATGGGTTTGGGCAGGAGTGCAGAGGCTGCTGCAATGTGCCCCCAGCAGGGCTGCTGCTGCAGCTGGAGCAGCCCCAGTGCTTTCACTGCTTGTCTGTGCAGCTGTCAGAGCTGAGCTGAGGTGTTGCACTGCACCCCAAAGCCAGCAGTAAGTAGAACTTGTCACTTGTGCCCATTTTGGCTGGAGTTACAAACAGATGACAGTGGCAGAGCAGGGGAAAAGCCCCATCAGGTCACAAATCAGGAAATAATCTCTCCTGCATAAAAGAAGAGAAATCCTGGCCTTCAGCAAGGGAGGAGGAGGAGATGAGGAAAGGCCCAGAGTGTTGTGCCAGTGGTGAGGCACCACTGTCCTATCCTTGCTCCCCAGTAAATGGGGGATCATCTGATAAATCCTGCAGACAGACAGATGTCTGCCAGCTTTGCTAAGGCTGTTGGCCAGACACAGACAGTGCCTGGTTTTGGTTTTTTTCTGGAGGTAAACTGCAGCCAGCCTTGTTTGTGCTGATGGAGAGCCCAGTCCAGATCTCTGAGGATGTGCTGTCACACTGACAGCCCTGCAGCCCTCAGTTGTGCTTGTCCTCTGCCTGACCAATAGATCAGTTCTGCTTTGGTTGAGGTGATGACCACAACCCAGCCACTGACAAGTGTAGGTGATGCTTACAAACTTTTAAAGACTTGGCACAGATCAACTGAAAATAGGAAAAATAAGTGCTGATTTAGGTATGATAGCTGTTTGTGCTATGGGTGTGAAGAAACATCTCAGTTGGTGTTGGAAATAATGGTGTCAGGCACTGACCTTGAATTTAGTGATGGATGCATCTTTGTTCCACTTCCATTTTTGGGGAAAAGCTGCTCTTAAAATACTGGTGCCCTTTGTTGGTTTTCACTTAAGTTGTTCCTTTGACTGCTCATATCCAGCATTGTCACAGATTGAGGTATCAGTCATGTCTCAGGACACTTGGGTTATTTTATGGATGTATTATGAATAGAAATTTCTCTATCACTCAAGTTTTATTAATTCTGAGTCGTTTGGAAATTCTTTTCCAGCTGTAGAGAGGATCTAGTAAAGCACAGCTTTGTTCACAATTCTGTGTGACTCATCTGCTCATCTGTTTCTCACTGCATTTCCATCTAGGCTCAGTAGAGAGTAAAGCCCTAATTCTGTAAGCCCAGTACCCAAATGAAAACAGAGCAAGCAGCACAATGGCTTCAGCAGCTTTCATTTTGTTCTGTGCTGCAGAGACAATGTTTCATGTCCTGTTCATCTCCAAGGGGAACTTCATGGAGCTGGGAGCCACATGACTGCTCCTCATGGTGAGCATGCAGTGCTGAGCTTGAAAGGCAAATCCTTTCTGAAATGTAAAAAGGGCTGAGGACAAACCCAAGATGAATATTGTATAATGAAGGTGACTACTAAAGGGAATTAAAGAGAGCATCCAGGATGGCAGCACAAAGGTTGTCCCTTACACTGCATTTTTGGTAGTGCACAGAAACTTCACCATTCACTTCTATATTTATATTATCACATTTATATGCTTAGTTTGATTGTGGCAACTTGAAATAACTTAATATATGTGAAAATGAATTAACAAGGTTTATCCCTTGGTTGTCTTCAATATCTGTTGCTTTTACCACTACATTTCTGTAACCAGAAAATATTTAATGGGTGCCTCTGGTTAAGCCTGAGAGAATGGAAGTGGAAAACTGGTGATGAAAGTGAACATCCATTGTAACTAAAAATGAGGAAAACCATTTATTTGCTTTCTTCAAGCCTTTAAAAATAGTAATATCCCTCCTCACAAAAACAGGTGAGGAAAGTTGAGAGAGGAGGAAATACTTTTATTCTTATACTGGGCTGTGCAGTTCAGAGGAGCTAAGTAGGGAATGCTGTAAAGATAACTGGGTAAGGATTAGGAGGCCAACAGCATTTCCAGAATTAATAAAGTATTAGAATTAATACTGAGAAAATGGAATTTTTATTAATGCCAAGGTATTTAATCTTCATCTCTGGAAGTCTTAAAGAAGTAAATTGAAGAGGGACCTAAACAGGAGAGTGGGCTTTTGAACAAAATCAGAGAAGCAATAGTGCTGTGGATGAGAATGTTCACTTGAGGAAATAAAGCTTTTATTTGGTGTACTTAACACCAAACTGCAGCTCCAAAATGAAGCAGAAAGTCTGAGTTTTTGGAAGGCTTAGTAACCAAAGCACTGCTAAACTCTGACTTGGGGTGAGGGAGCAGAGCAGTGGGGTTGTGGTGTGTGCACTGAGCATTCATAAACTCTGAACACCCAGCAGGAGTGCTCCTATTTCTGTCTGGAGAACTGTCATGGCCAGGGAGAGTTATTGTTTGTGGAATCATTTATAAATAACTCTGGCTGCTCAGGAGCTGCATGGGAGGGAGAAAAGCTGAGCCACAATCTGTTTGCATCCAGCTCTTGCAGTGTTTGTGCTGGGTTTAAGTTTAAGCCTTGCTTTTTGTGGTATTTTGTGAAGTCCCTGTCATTGAAAGGAAAGGTGAATCTGACTCCATGTTCTTAGAAGGTTAATGTATTATTTTATGATATATATTATATTAAAGAATAGAGAAAGGACACTTACAGAAGGCTTAACAAGATACTGAAAACTTGTGACTCTCCAGAGTCTGACATATTCTGACTGTGATTGGTCATTGAGTTAAAACAATTCACATGAAACCAAACAATCTCCAAACCCCATTCCAAAGCAGCACAACACAGGAGAAGCAATGAGCTAATATTGTTTTCCTTTTTCTCTGAGGCTTCTCACTTCCCCAGGAGAGAAATACTGGGCAAAGAGGATTTTTCAGGCAATATGACAGCCTTTTTTATGGTTTGAGGTAGATTTGGAGCTGTTGAAGCAGGTGTGTGCTGGGTCAAGAGCAGGAATCTGAATGTTTCCCACCACTTGGGTTTTCTGCTTGTCTCCTTCTCTTAATGCCATGAATTGAGACCCAGATGCAGATTCTCCACAAAATGACCATGAAAAGTACTCAAACTGAATTTTCGTCACTGTTCACCTGTACTGACAGTCATTTCTTGCAAGAGGAGCTCAGAAAAACTTGAGGTTTGTGTGGGGAATGGATTTGGAAAGAATTTTTAAAACTTTCCAAGTTTATACAGAATTGTGTATTTGTATAGATGTATCTTATATATTTGTATATATGTTAACACTGAGATAAGGTGTATTGATTTAGGAAGGCTATGGAATAGAGATGATATTCTTCAGAGAGATTGAACTAGAACTAAGTTTTAACAAGTTTTAAAATATGATCTTTTAAAATACTGCAACAGTGACATTATACCACAGACAGGAGATGCTTTTATGTAGGAAATAAATATTTGGTCAGTGGTAAGTGGCATCTACCCATAGCCATTCATAATTTACTTTTGCCCTACACCTTTAGGTCGAAGTAGAATGTGAATAAAAAAGGTTATAGAAAAATAAGTATATAATATACACATCTATATAGGTTATATAATATTAAAAAAAATTATATATATTCTTTTTATATTATATTATTTATGAAGATTATAAAAGACTGGATATCTTAGAGAATCAGAATTGTGAAAGATGAATTGTAGCAGGACTGTGAGAAAAAAAATAGGTGATTAGTGTTAGAAGTGTTGAGTGGTAGAAGTTAATAGGTTGAAAAATATTTGTAAGGTATTGTATTGAGGAAATAGGTTAGAAAAAGGTTTGTTCTTTAATTTAGTGAAGCTTTTGGAGGTCTTGGCAGTTGAGTGCATTGGAGTTTCCATGCTTTGCTTGTTTACAAATCTCTGTTAAATGGGCTGGCAGGCTGCTCAAGGGGTGTTTGCTTACACAGTGCTGTGCCAGAGGTATTGATTTATGCAGGAAATGTGGGAGTTAAAGCATCACAATCTCAGTGGAGCTTGAATGCTCTGCTCCAAATGTTTGCTTTGGGAGCAGCAACATTCAGAAATGGTTCCAGTGTCACTGCTGTCACCACCAGAGACTCAGAATTTGGGAAAGCCTCAAACACTGAGCTTTGGCTGTTAAATGTGCTTGTTAATTGGTGAATCACCAGTGTGTGTTCCTATGGCACAGATAACAGTAACTTCTTTGCCTTACCTGGTGCTGCTTTAAACATTCATATTGTTGAAGCAGATCTTTATCTGCTTTGGCTTCATGAAGTTGTTTCATTCTTAGTTTGGGGTTTGTTGCAGAGTTCATTAGAAACCTTAATTTTGGGTCATTTGTCTTTGTTTCCAAAACTTCAGTGTGGGTTTATTAGCACAGCATTCATTAGAAACCTCAATTTTGGGTTATTTGTCTTTGTTTCCAGAAGTTTTGTGTGGGTTTATTAGCACAGCATTCATTAGAAACCTCAATTTTGGATTGTCTTTGTTCCCAAAACTTCAGTGTGGGTTTATTAGCACAGCATTCAGTAGAAACCTCAATTTTGGGTTGTTTGTTTCCAAAACTTCAGTGTGGGTTTATTAGCACAGCATTCCCACCTGATTGCACACCTTCAGAGAAGGAGCTTCTGCTGGCTGTGAGCATTTTGTTTTCATGTTTTCACCAGAAAAACCACTCATTCTTGTGCCAGGGCAGAGAGAAACACAGGAGTGTGCACACACCACGGGGAATTTACACCCTTCAGAGAAACTCTGGTGACCTTAAACTCTGTACTGACCCTTGCAGGAGGCAGAGCTGCCCAGCTCAGCCCTTGCTGGCACTGAGCATGTAAATATCTCCCATTTTTGGGGTCAGGAATTCATGAAGGTGAACATCAAGCACAGAAAGCAATAAAGGAAAGCAGCCAACACTTTAAAATAATTGAACCAGGTCCCAAACTCTGCCCTGCAGTGGAGATTGGTGTGCTGCTATGAAAGGCTGGTGAATTTAATGAAAAGAATCTCAGGAAAAGTTTTCATAGCTGCAGCCTTCAGGGGTTGGTTGTCACATTTTTTTTATCAACCAGGAAGGGAAAATTGAAATGAAGTCCTTGATTACAGCTGAAATTACATTTTTGTGTGTGTTTGTTCTATAAAGTCAGTTCTTTAGCAAAAGTATGGCTCCAGTGTTGCCTTTCAGTGCCTGGCTTTGGTTAAATCAGCTCTGGCTGCAAAGATGGGATTTTAAAAGAGTGAAGTTGTGAATTGTTTAGGTAAGTGTGGTTTGGTGGTTTTTGCTCTTGGTGTATTAGGCTGCAGGGGCGGGGTGTGCCAAGCACAAGGGAGATGGAAATCAAACAAACATCATTCCACTGCACAGAAATGCAATCCATGGTGAGCATGGGTGGCAGGAGGAGTTCTGGAGAATGAGTTGTGATAAGTTTGGATTCAGTGCCAGCAATTCTGAGTGACAGTTCTCTTCAGATGTGTGGTGTTGAGAGTTGGGATTGAAATCTTGCACATTGCCAGCCCAAATAAATGGGCTGTGTCTGTGGAAAGCAAAGTCAGAAGTGGAAAAGAAGACCACAGGAAAAGCCAAAAATATACTCAATTTTATTTTCTAGGACATCAGAAGTAAAAGGGGGAGATACCTTGGTGCATGTGGTTCATAAGAAATTGAAAGGAAGATTTCAATAAAATACACAGAAGCAGGATTCTTCCAGGGAAGGTAACTTGGCAGGCTTAGCAACACCCTCAAACCTTCATTTCCTAGGGGCTGTGCAACAGAATCAGGATGCTTCCTTTCCTTTATGAATTTTAAACTCAGGAAAGAAATAAAAGGAGAATTTAATTGAATAAGAGTGAATATCAATGACAAAACCTGTATTTTAGAAATGCCAGTGCTCTGTGTGGCAGAGCCTTGGCAGAGCTGAGCTCCCCATCAAAGGAGGATACATTTGCCATGTCTATAGGGCAGATGAGCATTTTTAGTAATGAATTGAGTGGCTTAAAGAGAAATTTCAAGGTAAACTTCCACTGCAGCTTCATTATATTTTTAAATAAAATTGGATTTACAGGGTGGTTTAAATTAGATCTGCCAATTTGGACTTGAAGAAGAGCTTTATGCTTGTTTATAAATACATAAATAATGGTTTTATTTCTCTTTTTTCTTTCAACAGAGGTTGCAGACCTTGAAGCTAATTTACCTTGTGAGTATAACATTTAATAGTGTGCATTTTAAGGGGGAAAGGAGCATTGAAATGAGCATTTTGACTGGTAACTGTGCAAAGCTCCACCACTCTGCCTTGAACAGATTTTTCTCTGTTGCTTCATCTTCTGGGAGAAGCTGGACTCTCATTAGTGTCCTTTGGAAGGAGTATTGATAATTTGCATCCAGTTTTTAATTGCTGTGGAGTGGCAGCAAAACTTTGATCAAGTGCCCAAAAGGTTCCTGGGACTCCAGGGTGCAATTAGTGCCTCACTCGTGTTTTTATTTCATTCTCTCATTTTCAAAACAGGAGATTCTGATTTAGGGGCAGAGCAAATAGCTCAGCTCTCAGGGAACATGCAGGTTTTTCACTTCCAGATGTAACCTGGTGTCTTTTAATAGAGAAAATACTCTTGAAAAGTAATTTTTTAAGAGTGATCCATATTCCCTAAAAAAAAAAAAGAGGGCAAGATAATATGGTTTTAGATCTGGAATCTTACTTGAGATATAAAGGCAGTTATAGAGAATTTACAGAGAGTAATTAGATAAAGTTTTTTTCAGTTCTGTTATAGGGTAGCAAACTCCAGAAGAATGTGTGGTTTCAGTCACTACAATGTGAATGCTTTACTAGGTTTGTGTACAGTTCTAGGTAGGTTTTTCAGGCCAATAGGATTTATAACTATTTATATTTATATACTGTTTAGCTCCTTGGCTGCAGAAAAGGAACAGCCAGCTTGATGGGTTAAGAGGCCAAAAGCTGAATAATGTGGGTGATAAAATAACCATGATAGATTTGTCTCCTCATGGCAGCCAGCTGTGGAGAGCTCATTTCTGATGTAAATTATTCTTTTGCTTCACAGGTACATGTAAAGTGAATTTTCCTGACCCAAACAAGCTCCATTACTTTCAGCTAACTGTAACCCCAGGTAATTTTTTTTCAATGTTACTTTTGTTTCTGTCTGTGTTGGTGTTTAGGAGAATTCCAATGAAGCCTGAGTCAAAGAAAGTCTGGCTGTAATAATGATAATTTCATTGAAGAGATGGAGAAACTGGGCTGAGTTTTGACAACCAGATTCCAGTAAAAAGGCCTTCAAAAATGAGTAGGGTTAGGAAATACTCAGATTTTTTTTGTACTTGGATGGAGAACATTTTCCTCTCAGCCAGTTCCAAACCACCTTGATTTATTTTGGCATTCCAGCCCTGTTAGGTTGTGTGTTCCCTGTGCTGATTGGGTGTGCCTACAGATGCTTAACAAGGAGCAATCTCTGAGCCTTTGATTGTTCAAATATGTCAAATCAGACTTTTTTATTATTAACACAACTTGAGTATCCTGTGAAACTCTTGCTAGCAGTAAAAGCATTTTCATAAATTATCATTTCCATGTACATTTCTTAATAGCCCCCTGAAATTTGCATTTTGGAATAAAGGGTTGTATTTTATGGATGAGTTTGCGTGGAAGTTTATTTAAACTTGGCATGCACTTGTTGTGTGTGTTGCTGTGCAGCTGCTCAGGTGAGAGCATTGCTGTGTGCAGTGTTAGGTGTGCTGGGCTGGCTCAGTGTCCCCTGCAGCTCCTTCTCCTTGGTGCCACTGTCTGTGGCTGCTTTTTGTCAGCAGAGTTTGGGTGAGGAGAGTGCAGTCATGCTGCTGTTTGAGCTGGAGAAACAATTGTGTGTGCACTTAAAGGAGTTTTGGAGTGTTTCTGTAATCAGCATTTTGGAGCCAGAGCAGCACTAGGTGTCACTGTTGCTGTTCCTTAGCCCAAACCCCCTGAGCCATCCCCCAGCAGAAATTTTGGGTGGTCTCTGGTGACAAATCCATTCATGTGCCTCCCTTTTGTGATGGAAAAATGAGTGAGGCTGCCCTTGGCAGTGTAATTAAAAATAAACCCAAGAGCTGATCTAGGGCTCTGTCCCTGTCATTCTGTGTAGGAGTTGTGCTCATGTTTACTTGGTGGGTGTTAATTCTGCTTACACCAAATGCCCTTCCCTTCACATGACACTCTTTATTATATTTTGGGAAAGAACTGATTTTACAAGAGCATCACTATGCAAATGATTAATGTATGAAAAAGCTGTCCCAACTCCAAGGTGTCTAAACCCTAGGAATTGTTTTGTTTGTGCAGAAACCAGCTGTTGAATGCAGAGCAGGGGTTTTGTGCCACTGATCTTACCAATGAGATGATCTTAATGAACATTTTGTTACTTTAAATATAACTGCACAGCTGAAGTCTCTGCACTTGCAGCCTGACCCCTGTGAACAGCTATTTTCAGCTGTGCATAATTCAGGTGTACAATCTTGTGATCAGCCAGAGTTTAGCACTCTAAAGGCAGAACACAGACCAAGAAATCTTTGTAGTTTTGTGCCTCTTTTCAATACTGAAGTTCTCTCTAGTTTTTCCTGGAGGCAGCAGAGTGGTTGTCACAGAAGTTTTATGGCCAAAGCTTGAGCCAACTCTTTTTGTATTGTCTGAACAGGATTGCATGAATCTTGACTTTGTTCCCTGCTGTCATTTTGAATGTGGCTGGTCCTGAAAGGACAGTAAAAGAAGCTTCCTTAGGCTTCACAAAAAGACTGATTTAAATAAGAAAATAAACTTGACCACCAAGCAGAAATCCTTTCAAGGTCCCTTGCTCAGCACCTCTCACAAAAACCTTTCTCAGCCAGGATTTAATGTGGCAAAATCATCCTGGTTGACAGCAAGTTTTTAATTGAAAATGATTTTGTAGAAAATCTTGATGAGGATGGCTGCTTTTTTTTAATATAACTGAAAGAATTCCAATCTGTGTATGCTCCAGTTTCCTGCAGTGCACTATCAGTGGATAAAAAAAGGCTCAGACTTGGATTTTTCTGCTGCAGTGGACAAACTCCCTGTTCCCCAGGCAGACACTGCTGCTTTTCTCTGCTGTCTGAAGCTTCTCTTCCCTTTTGTCATCTGAAACATTTGTTCTGCCTTTGAAAAACACCCTTGTGCCACCATTGCCTCTGCTCTTATTTTTTCATCCAATTTTCATATTGGATGAAAATTTAAGGAAAATAAGGAGATGTTTAGAATCCAGGCTTGCTGCACTGGTATTTGGAGCACGAAATTGGAAGCTGAGGATTAAAATCATGGGAATGACCTGGAGAAAAATCAAGGAGGTGACTTTAGGTAGCTAAAAACCCAGAAGAGTAAGTGCAGTAAATGCAGTTTCCCTGCAGTTCCCAAGCTGTTGGACTAGTCTGGGCATTTGTGGATATTTGAGTGCCCCTCTAGGGGGATTAATAAAGGCACTGGTTTCTGGTGAAATGCCCACAAATATTGGAGCATGGCTGATTCAGGGAGCAGCTATCCCAAGTGCATCCTTTGTGGCCTGCCCTAATTACCTTGCATTTTCTTCTAAAGTGAGGAAATCATTTGGTTAAGTGTTTTGCAGAGCATTAAAGCACCCTACAAACACAAGCTAAGATTAGCCAGGTTGTTGGTAATGAAACTTGAGGCTGAAGTGGGAGGGATGCTTGCTCTGCTAATACAGCCTGAAGACATAAATTTAAGCAGTGGGAGGAAAACTGTGGCTCAGACATCCTCCCTTTTTAGCAAAAGTCCCTGTGGCCAACTTCCTAACTTATGTGTTAAAGCTCTTCCATTTGATGGGTTTATTTATAGCTCTTTCCTCTCTTTAAGTCTGCCAGAACTTTTTTCCCACCACTTTTCCGTGCCTAAAAAATTGAGGATTTCTCTCTCAGTCTGAGAACCTATATACTTGAGATGCTGAAAGATGACTTCATTGTGAATTATCTTGTTAATGCAGTGCAGGATTTCTGGCTGGGTACTGAGGCTCTCCAGAATTTTTAATTTATATTTGAGTGACTGGTAATGAGTAGCTTGATTGTTGCTTTAGGAACACAGAGGCAGAATTGTATAAAAGAGGGGAGGAGAGATGTCTTGCTCTCCTAATTGTGTAAATATGTCCTTATTTGATAGCAGAGCCTGTAGCTTACCCAGTGTGGGTTTTGATTAGTGACTGGTGACAAGGTAAAACCAAAATATAAAATGAGATTTAATATAAGGCAGTGATGAATTTGGAATTGTCTTGGAGGAAGACTTGATCTGAAAGTTCTTGAGTGTTCATTAAACCTGGGGATTTTCTTTGACACAAACCACAGATGGATACATCCATCAGCAGGCATTTATTTCATTTTAGCAGGGGTGGAATGTGAAGAGCTGCTGCATGCTTTGCTCCTAGTCCAGCCAATCAAGGAACCAGTGAAATTAAGCCAAGGAAAAGAACTTTTGTACTTGGAAATGTGATAATTCCTGACACTTGGTTCAAATGTGTTCTAGTGCTGGATGGTGGGTAAAGTGCAGTCAGCTGTCTGTGTTCTGTGGGATAAATGTGGTGTTGGAGCTCCTGGGGATGTTGGACCATTTTCCAAGGATTCCTTTCTGGAGCAGTGTCTCACTCTGAGGGCACTGCACATTTGACAGGGAGCAGTTTGACCAAAGGCTATCAGTGTAACTCACCTCTTACTTCTTGTTCTTCAGTAAAGACTTGCTTTGCTGAGTTTTACCTCTGTATATTTAAAAACATAAGAGAAATTATTTTATCTTGCTTTTTTCCTATAAAAATCAGTGCATGTCACTTTACTTTCTGCCTAAATTTACTTAATAAATCCAGCTCACTTCAGAATTGACTTGGAGTGGGAATGGAGAATGGATTTGAAAAGCAGATCAGGAGGCAGCAACCTGAAGGGGGATTTTGCTGACCTACAGTAGACAAGCTATGGTTTTTGTGGCTTGGAACAAGCCAGATAATAGTAAAGTTAATCTTAGTCTTTCTGTAAACTATGGATTGTTTCACAGAACATTTCTTTGCAGTGTTGGTTTAAGGAATATAAAAAAGCTGCATGATAGAATGGTAACCAGCCCTGGGTGCTTGGAGCCACAGCATCCCTCAGGTGTCTCAAACCCCCACTGTGGCCTGGGTACCTGTTTGCTTTTCTTCATGCAAAACCTCAGTCATGGCAATGCCAGCTGCATTTCAGATCACTTGCAAAGTGATCTGAAGAAACAGCTTCCAAGCACAGTTGTTTCAAAAGTTGCAGTTTGTCATCCCATTCTGTTAGCCCTGCTTAAATGCAAGTAGATCTTTTACTATGTCATATTTGATAATTTAGCCATTTTAATAATTCAGTACTAAGCTTGGCAGAGAGGCAGACGTGTGTTCCTAGCAGATACATCACACACAGTAAGACAATGACAGTGAAACAGCCTGCTTGCCCTTCTTGAAGTGCACTCTGAAATTCCTTGCACACACCAATGTATACTCACCAGGATTGCCAGCACAGCTTTGGGAAGATGTGGTAAATCTTGGGGTAGAGTTTAGCAGTGCTTTGGGAAGCACAAATTTGGGAAGATGTGGTAAATCTTGGGGTAGAGTTTATAGCAGTGCTTTGGGAAGCACAAATTTGGGAAGATGTGCTCACTCCTGGAGCAGGATTTAGCAGTGCTTTATAAGCACAAGTTTGGGAAGATGTGCTCACTCCTGGAGTGTGCCCGTGTTCACAGGGGTCCGAGGATGAGGGAAGAGATGAGGACTCCTCTGACTCCATGTTTCAGAAGGCTGATTTATTATTTTATGATATATATTATATTAAAACTATACTAAAAGAATAGAAGAAAGGATTTCATCAGAAGGCAGCTAAGAATAGCAAAAGAAGGAATGATAACAAAAGCTTCTGGCTGGGACAGAGAGTCTGAGCCAGCTGACTGTGATTGGCCATTAATTAGAAACAACCACATGAGGCCAATCACAGATGCACCTGTTGCATTCCACAGCAGCAGATAACCAATGTTTACATTTTGTTTCTGAGGCCTCTCAGCTTCTCAGGAGAAAAAATCCTAAGGAAAGGGTTTTCCATAAAATGTGTCTGTGACACTGGAGCAGGGTTTAGCAATGCTTTAGAAGCACAAATTTGGAAGATGTGCTCAGTCCTGGAGCAGCATCTGGCAATGCTTTAGCAATTGCAGAATTTCTCCAGCTCATTCCAAGGGTCACTGATGTGGTGCTGCCTGCCACATGCCAGGATTTGCTCCCCACAGTGAGAAGTTGAGTGCAAGGTTCCTCCAGCTGGGTGTCCCTGTTCCTGGTCAGGATGGTGGATTTTTCTGGGACTGGTTGCTCTCCTGACTTCAGATTTCTGCTGTAGAAATGGTGGCAGTGCAGGAAGACAAAATACTCACACACTCCTTGGGTTAGGTGGCAGCAACCAGCTGAAGTGTTTGATGATAACCCTATGCTGTTGTTTTAATCTTGATGTTTTTCTCTTATTTAACTATTTGCCTTGTTTTCCCTTTTCTAGATGAGGGCTATTACCAAGGAGGAAAGTTTCAGTTTGAAACTGAAGTTCCTGATGCCTACAACATGGTGGTGAGTATTTGTCATTGGTCTCACAGTTGTCATTTTAGATTTTCCTTGCAGGTAACAGGACTTCAGGGGGAGCTTGGCATGGAGATTGAGAAAGGATCTTCTGTCTCTTAATAAAATAAATCTCTGCAATTGTCTGGCAGAAGCTCTTGGAAGTGCAGATGAGTGAAACCTGAGTGTCCTCCCTTCTGGCTGAGGTTCTGCTCTCTCCTGTTAATTATTCATGAGATCTGCATTTAATGATTATTCTCATTAAAAAGTTATATATCTAAGAATGAAATAAGTGAACCAAAAGGAAAAAGTTGACAGTTCTGTAATTTTCCCTGAAATTCTTCTGCTTTGGTGTCCTAGTTTGGTGTTGGTAGTGCAGAGTTCTTCAGAGAGGGGGAGGATCCTGGAGAAGAGTTTCAGGGAAGATCTTTGGTTCCTGTTCAGCTGAGCCTGAATTCAGCATTAGCTGTGTGTGGTAGTGGCAGTCACAGCCAGGCAGTGTTTGCAGCTGGGTGGGTTTGGTTGTGGGGTGTTTGAAGTTCCCCTTAACTTTACCAAAGAATTTCAAACTGTGGCAGAGGTCACCCTTAATAACTTCTGTGTATTCATTTCATTTCCTTTAATTTTTGTATTCCAGTTGTTCACCCAAACAGCACTGCTGCAGGAAAGTGTTTGCTGTGTGTAACAGGAGAGCTGAGGTTCAGTTTTGATCTGAGGTTTTTGATTCTCAGTTTCCATAACTAAAAAGTTTCTGGTTTATTATTGTTCCCTGCTCAGCTGAGAAATCTACAGCAAGTGTTAATGAAATATTTTTAAATTTGAGCAACTCTTATCCAATACAAAAATAAAAGTTTTGGAACAATGCAGGAGGTTGAATGTTGGATTGTGGTCAGGTTGTTAATGCAGTATGAATCCAATATTGATGGAATTCTGCAGAGGCTGTGGTTGGTTTCTGCCAGGCAGAAGGGACTGACACAAGTGATTTCAGGAGAGCTCTGCAGACCTGCCAGGGCTGGATATGTGGAATTGGGATGGAGTGGAGGAGCATAACATAAATAAAGAGGAACAATTTGGAAGATTTGCTCTTGTGGCCTGCAGGCAAACCCCTCAGTGCTTTGCTGGCTGCAGTGTTCAGTTTCAGCCAGTCTGTATTCTGCAGAAACTGCTGCTGGAAAATGGCAAGAAATATCTCAGGGCTGGAGTGTAGTTCAGTCCCAGGAACTTGTATCCCCTCTATGGGAAACTTGTATCCCTCTTCTATCCTTCCTCTTAGGGAAAATTGTTTTTTACAAGCTGTAAAGAGGAGCTGCAGTTGCAGGGTGGTTTAGGGAAATTGGTTTAGCTTTGGGACTAGCTGGTGTCCAGAGAAAACATTTCAAATAACTTTGATTCCAGATTTCTCTTAGGAGCCACTTTCCTTCACCAGGTAAATTTCTTCACTAGTGAAGAGATCAAATTAAATATATAAATAATACATAATTTAAAAAAATTACAAGATGTTGGTACATCTTTTTAGAGTGCTGATTTATCAAGAACTGAAACTGCTCATCTTAATCCCAGAGCAGAAGTGGCTGCTGGAAATGGAGAAGGAAGTTAATGTGGTCAGTGCTGTGCCCCCAGCTGAGGCTGCATTACCTGTGCAGTCTGAGGGGAAGGAGGAGTTTGAGCAGGGAAATAAATTGATTTGGGGAGCTCTGTTGTGCAGAATTTCACAGAACATCATCCTGAGGAAATCTCTGGATTTGCTGGTCTAGGGAGGGTTCCAAAATGACTTGGAACAAGTTCCAAGGTGAGGTTTTGTGTGAAGATGAATTTTATGGTGATGCTGCAGTTGTCCTGTGTGTCTAAAAGGGAAAAAGGAGAGAGAGAAAAACCTTTGTCTTACTGTCAGGAGTGGGTTTTTCTAACTTTCAGCAGTGAAAATCACTTTGAAAGGATAAAGGAATTCTTTTGTTTCCACAGTACAAAAAATGAGACATTAGTTAATTCACTGTAAGGATTTGGGTTTTTTTTAAAAAGAGTTTCCATAAATCTTTTTTTTGACTCATCAATACATTCCTGTTTGAAGGTGCATATGGTAGAAATTTACTCTTTTATCTTGATCTAATGGCATGGAATAAATTCTGCTGCTTTGCCTTGCTTGAGAACTAGACACCATCTTTCAAGACAATGTGAAAGTGTGGCTAATGAAAAGCTTGTGCTGTTAGAAAACTTCTGAGCTGTTTTGGAGGGCAAAAAGTTTGAGACTATTTTCTGTGAGCCACTTAATTTTCAATAGTGCCATGACTGATGTCCCTTGAGTTATTGCACAGAAATGAAGTGGAGGAAAGGCAAAATCTGCATTATCAGTCCCAGATTTATTGTGGTGATCAGTGTTTTTTTTCCTAGAACATCTCTTTTAGGTCTGTTTTTGGTGTTTCAGTGCCATGCATATTTTCTTACCTCTTCCAAGGAGTCTTAATTTAAAAAGTTTCTTGAAAAGGTCATTGGGAAGTTGGGAACAAAATGAGATAAACCACACAATGCTGCCATGCAAATGCAGCTCTTGGAGCTGTTCTGCCTCTTGATTGAAGACATCATTGGAAAAAGTGGAAGGAGAGATGGCTCCACATTTCTAATCTGGGATTTAATTGAAGTTCTGCAAGGTGCTGGTGTGAGCTGATGGATTCCAGGACACTTCCCATCAGAAATAATCTGCCTGATTGAAAGCTGCAGCTCCTGATGGGGAGAGCAGGGAGGCAGCAACGTGCTGTTGCTAAGCTACTGACATTTTTCTGTCCCACTCTTTATTTACTTCACCAAACCAGAGCAAAAGAGATTATACTTGAAAAATCTGTACTTCAGAACCTCACTGTGACATTCAGAAGTTTGGTGGTCTTGCCTGTGGCTTTTCATTTTAGTGCCTCTAATTCAGCTGTGAACAGGAGGGTCTGTATTTAAAATAATTTTATTTATTATTAGCTATTTATTTATTATTTAGTTAGTTATTTTATTATTACTTATTTATTATTAGTTATTTTGTTATCTTTGCATCCTCTGCTGGTTTTTTTAACAAATCTCTGATTTGCAAAATCCTTGGTGAAGTTTTTTTGGTTTAAATTATTATCTTAACAGTTAAGTATGAAGAAACTGAATGGCTTAGAGTGTTTTCCCTGAAGGAGTAAATTTTCTTGGCTTTCTTGAAAGTTATTTTTTATAAAGAAAGTCTTAATACCAGCCTGGTTTTTTATGAAGAGTTGAGAAAAGCTAAAAGGGCAGAGAAATCTGTTTTGACTCTTGTAGATAATGCACCATTGCTCTAAACATACAAATCCATACAAATCTATTTGCCTTTTTTCTGTTTTATGAGTTATAACAGGGTTTTAGCTTAACAGATAACACAGTAATTTGTTTTCTCTCCTGGCAGCCTCCAAAGGTAAAATGTTTGACAAGAATCTGGCACCCAAACATTACAGAGACAGGAGAAATCTGCCTAAGGTAGGAACAACATTCTGTTGGAGTTTTTTAACCTTGGAGGTTTCTGTGTTTGATAAAATATTGGATGTAACTGTCCTGACAGTATTTTTTTGTAACATGTAACTTCTAGGAGCATAAAAAACCTACTGAAAGTCTCATTCTTGCTTTGTTTTTCTTGTAGAACAAAAAATGGGGTAAAAATATAAACTCTATCCTAAACAAAATGTATTTGGTTGTTTTTTCTCTTCCTTCTCTCATATCTGAATCATCCTCAGGCCCTGAGAGAGGCTTTTAGCATTTGATAAATTTGATGCCCAAGTGTGTTAAGAGCTTGAAAATTCTTTTTATTTCAAAAAGAGAGGAAGAAAGTATACGATATATTATATATTATATATTATATATTATATATTATATATTATATATTATATATTATATATTATATATTATATATTATATATTATATATTATATATTATATATTATATATTATATATTATATATATTTGTATAATAATTTGACAGTAATTATTCTATGTTAATTATAATATTTAATATCCATTGATAAGACCCATGTGCCAGTTATAACAAAGCAGGGTTGGGGTCAGGATAAGTCAGTAATGAAACCTGAAAACTTCACTTTGCCAGAGTGAGAGGCTTCTCTTGCTGGGTGGTTTTCCTTGATAGTAAATGTTTCCTCTTCCAAATGAATTTGTGAAACTTTGTAATTTCATCCTCAACACCTGATGGTGAAATTGGCCAGAAACCAAACAGAAACACAAGTGAGAAGCTTCTCTGTCATTTTTCAAGTTAATTGCACACAGAAGAAAAAGCAGATGAAGCAGAAGCAAAGCCCATAAGTGAGATTGAAAGCTGCTCTGAAATTCCTGCATGCTTGTCACCATGTGTAGCAAATCAGTGCTTAAAGAGAAGCTGAATTTTTCCTCTAGATGGAAAAAATCATTTTAGTGCTGTGGTGAAAGTCCTGGTGAAAAGGAAGATTTGTATTGCCCTTCCTAGGCAGGTCAGGCTCATAACTAAGAAATTGAAATGTTGTGAATGCAGGTAGAGGAGTGAACAGGTGAGGTGTTTGTATAAATACCAGGCACCAAACCACAGCTGGGGCTCAGTAAAACCTCACACTGACAAAATCCAGAGTGCTTGGGCTTGGAAGGGACCTTAAAGCTCATCCCATTCCCTCCCTGCCATGGGCAGGGACACCTTCCCCTAGAGCAGGCTGCTCCAAAAGCCATCCAGCCTGGCCTGGAGCACTTCCAGGGATGGCACAGCCACAGCTTTTCCATTTCTAGAAGTTATTTTAATTATAAGAGATGAATGTGGTGATTGGAGCATCATAATTCCAATGAAGTGGAGGCATTCTTTCAGCATCTGCTCTGAAACACTTTGGATTGTCAGATCCCTCAACGTATCAAACCCTGGAAATGTCTGGCATTCTATGGAAAAACTAAAATAACTGAATTGCTTTCTGCCTGTTAGAGAATGCATTCTATGTATAGTATCTGCAATCAACTTACACAAGAGTCTCTGCATTAAAATAGCTGCAGTTATTTTTAAAAGCAGAAAATCATCTTCATCAGTGCTTTCCCCTCACATACAGCTCATGCTGTGGTATGTGTTGGTTTGATAATCATCCCTGGATTGAAACATTCTCAATAGTTAACTGTGTCAAGTGTAGCAGTTTTGGGCAGGAAATGTGGAGTTTTTCTGTGCTTTATGTTATGGACTGCAGTTACTGCAGTTACTCTGGGCCATGTTATTAATGATAGATCCTAATTAAGTCTAGCCCTACTTGATGTCCCCTCTACTACACATGTGGATAGGAAAAATTGTGTTTTCTCCAGATTGATGTTCTTCTAGTAAATTGTTGTCACTTAAGCTGCAGGTTGGGTCAGCTGGAGTTTCAGAAGGTTTTACACTTACTGCAATCATGCAGTTCCCACTTCATGAGATGCTTTTTGAAAGATCTCTTTATTTAAAAAGACAAAAAATTCCTCAGAGCTTTCTGCCATGCAGGAGTTACAGGATGAGGAGGTATTTGTTGAAATGAGAGCTGAGCAGCTGACTGGTCACATCAGGGCTGTTTTGGTTACTGAAGGTTCAAAAGCAGTGATTGTGCCCTCTGCCCATGGAACCCAGGCTGATCTCTGATTTGGAATCATAGGCTGAGGGATCTCCTTAGATCTGGGGAAAGATTCTGTTTAATGATCATTAAACCCCTCAGAAAGGTTCTGAGGGGTTTAATGATAATTTTTAATCTGTAGAAGAAAGAGGGTGCTGCTCTAATAACAAATTACCAGCAAATGGGGAGTATGGAGCCAAAGGACACTTCTGTGTCAGTAGTGGTGTTCACAGCAGTCTAAGAACAAGGGAAGAGATGAGAATCTTGACTCCATATTTCGGAAGGCTGATTTGTTATTTTATGATATATTAAAAGAAAATTATCTACTAAAACTGTGCTAAAGAATAGAAGAAAGGATTTCATCAAAAGGCTAGCAAGGAAAAGGAATGGAATGATAATGAAATCTTGTGACTGCTCACAGCCTTGACACAGGTGGCTGCCATTGGTCATCGTGTAAAAACAATTCACAGTTCTCCAAATCACATTGCAAAGCAGCAAAACATGGAGAGAAGCTTCTCAGGAGAAAAGAAAAATCCTAATGAAAGGATTGTTCAGAAAATATGTGTGTGACATGTGTGTTCCCTGCTTTCCTGCCAGAGTGCTGAGAGGTGCAGGTGTCTCCTCATCCTGGCTGTGGTGTTCCAGCTGGAGCTGTGCCAGCACAGCCCTGGGGCCATGAGCCTTAGCTCATGCTCAGGTGCTCTGGCACTGAATATTTTTCTGACTTTATTTAGTGTGTTAACTTTCCCCCACTTGGAATTTCCCAGTCAGGTGGATGGAGAGGCAAATGGAAGCGCTGCCACACAGTTTGATAAGGAACAGGCAAAAAGCTTTTTTTGCTTTTGTCATATGGAGACAAACTGCAGCCACAAGATGTTATTCTGAACGTTGCACAAGTAGTAATGGCATATTTTATCTTTTGAGAGGCACAGGAATGAGATGAGCAGCACACTTAAGGTGGAATGGGCTTGTCCAGGTTATCATCCTGTTCCTGGGGTCTCTGCACTGAACAAGGATTGAATTTCCTTGCATATAAACTTGCCATGTTCATTAAACAACTGCATAACCTCTGTGATCTAATCACCTACTGTAATTTAAAAATGACTTAATGCATGTCAGCCTGGGAATTGCTAAAACCTTACAGTTAAGCTATTTCTCTTTAACCCTGTCCTGTCATTTCAGTAGCAGAAGCTGCTGCTGCTGGGGAGTTTCTGTGCTTTGCTGTGTGAGTTGTTTCAGCTGACTCCTTCCAGAGGAAGGTGTGATTGTGAAATGATGCTTCAAGGAGCTTTTTACATTGTTTTCATTCAGATTATTACTTTTCTGAGCAAGACATCAGCTTATTTCTCAGTTCTGCTCTGATCCCCAATATATCTCCTCCTCATTACTGCTGAGGTTGGGATCTGAAAGGTCCAGAAATGCCTGAACACCTCAATGGTTTCCACTTGCAAATTGCTCAGCAGCTTCACTGGGCTTAATATGTACCATAAAATGGGACATCTATTCTGGATTGTGCATCTAGGAAATTCTGTATTTTTCTATATTAATATTAAAATTCAAGATATATATATATATAGATATATAGATATATATATTTGTGTATACATATTTGTATAATACAATATTTATAAATATAGTAATAGAATACAATCATACAAATGTAATATTTATTATTTTATAATGCAATAGATTTTTATATTTATATATGGATTTATATATTTATATATTTTATATCCTATATATTTTTATATATGAGATATAAATTTTATATCCTATGTAGATATATCTTTTATATATATATCTTTATATATATTTTTAAAATTTTTTAGTATGTTTTTTATATGGAAGTTTTTCCTCCAGAGCAGCCAGACTAAAACTCTCTCCCTTTCTTATCTTTACCTGTAGGAAGCTGAAGTCCTTTCAGAGAATAGAGGGTGATGATCCTCTCTTTGCTAATTAGCTATCCCTCCCCAGAACACCCTTTTTTGGATTGGTTTGTGCCAGTTTTGGTGAGGGATGGGTTACCCTGCAAGGCTGTCTCTTCACCAGAGATGAACATGCTCTAAAATGCATCAGGGAATAAAAAAAGGGTTCAATGCTGAGCCTGTCACAAGCATTTCTGTCACTTGTGCTGCTGGAGGAGAAGAATTCAGGTGTTTTGACAGAGGTTGGGCTCAGATGGGGAGTTCTGTAATGACACTGTGGAGAAGGTAATTTTAGACAGACATCCCAACTCCTGGGGTTTAAAATTCCATTACCTGGATATAAATAGTGCAAGAATTAGATCTTATCTTGCAATTACTTCCTGATGGTTTCTTGTGAGGTTTCTGCCAAAGACAATTGAAGCAGAAGTTGCTCTGTGTAATGTGTGTGTCTTTCTTTTGCAGTTTATTGAGAGAACACTCAATTGATGGCACTGGCTGGGCCCCAACTAGAACCTTAAAGGTACTGTTACCTTTTGGATGTTTCCTTCTAAATAAATCTTAAAAAACCCTTTTTTGGCCTTGGAAAGAAACAGCTGATGTGGTTTGCTCAAGAGCAGGTTTTTGAGATGAGGATTTTTTGTCTTTGGTACAGTGCTGAATGTAGAAATGTTTTGGGAATTTTGGGGTGACTGCACAAATCCTGCTCTGCTCCAAGGTTTTGGAGGTTGGGATTACCCTGAGGACCCACACTCTGGGAGGTGTGCTGGTTTTCACCAGGCAGCAAACACAAGAGCAATCCATAACCCTGGTAATTTCCATGGGATTGATACTCTTGACAAAATCCCTGCAGAGCCCTGAGCAGGACATTTATCTTCCTCTTGCTGTTCTCAGGAATGCTGCCAAAGTTGTTTCTTGCAGAGCTTTAACTGCATTAGGTGGATAAAGGGTACACATCAGGTGTTTGTCTCTTTCAAAAAACAAATTGAAAATGACCTTTATCTGATACTTGGTTTGCTCTTTGGCGCTGTGAATGAGATTTGTGACTTTCTTCATCTGTAAAATCTCTGCTGAGGTGAGCATGTGACTTTCTGGAAGCAAAATGAGTGTTTTGTTTTGTGGATTTTCTTAAGCACTCTTTCCCTATTGCTTTTTCATCACTTGGTGTGATTTTGTTTTGCCCTTTGTGTTTCCTGTTTTCACCTCAGGTTAAATCAAGACACTGAGTAATTTAAGTTAATTAGTTCTGTTCTTGTCCCTGTGTTTTCATTCAGAGAAAGTTTTAAGCTTAAAAATTAGTACAAAAGAAAGGAGCTTTTTCTGTGATTGTTGAAATGAAAGATTCAGCAAGAGAAAAGGAAGCAGTAGCTTAACTTCAAGAAGAGAAAAATCAGATTGGATTTTAAAGTTTTTGAACATTGAAGCACCACAGTTGTGAGCTCACTATTTACAGCTTTTCATCACCACCAGGGGAGCAGTGAGAATTTGCACAGAAGCTCTGTGGGCTGGAATCCATTCTTGGCCTGTTATGGACTTGAAAATCAGGATTTAATTTGTGAATTATATGAAGCCAGCCTGGTTTTCTGGAGGAATAGCACCCAGCCCTGCCCAGTAAAGCACTCTGAACTACTCCTAAAGAATTAAATTGGGAGTGGCCATGTCCTCCTGCCACTAAAACTGTTCCAGGGGCATTAGAGAAGCCATTCAAATAGAAAATACACATGCACAAGCCAGCTGCATGTGTGGGGCTTGTGTGCTTTAGAAGGCTCAAGTTTTTGGTTGGGTCTCATTTTGGAGCCATTGTGGTGACAGCAGAGCTCTTATATGTAAAATCCTTCAAAATAACTGCTGTGACCTTTTAAATATTTTTTTTATTATCAAATGAGTAGAAACATGAAAAAATTGCTGAAATAAAAATGAAAATCTGTTAAATTGTCTGGAAAACTTACCTGATAAAATGTATTTTTTACAGTGTGGAGGATTCTTAAGAGAGGAAGACCTAACTCAGTTTTGTTTCCCAACATTTTTTTGCACTTGCTGTCATCTCATCCATGATTGAATTCTTAGGTTACCAAGAGTTGAGCTTTATCTGTTTTCCCTTCTTTGTGCTTGGGAACACATTTCCATGGACCACTGTGAAGAGCAGCCTGTGTGTGAGAGAGGGAAATAAAGAATGTGCTGCTATTTCTGAATTCCTGCATGAGATGCTGTTTGGAAATCAGGCTCTGAGCAGAGTTGGGCTCTTCTCCTGAACAGATTTAAAACATTACCCTGCCAGCCTGTCTATATATACACCTTTAAAATCACTTTCTTTTTATTCATAGAAACACTCCAGAATCCCAAACCCTTAGATAATTTCTGGTAGTGATTGGTCTCCAGGCTGTGGATTGTGTGAACACTGCTGCAGTGTTTCTTAGCTGATTTTTGTGTTCCTTCTTGTGATTTTTGTGTTCCTTCTGCTCCTTTGGGGCTAAACCTGAATTAGCAACAGGAGCTTATTTACCTTTCAGTCTCCATTCTCTCACATTGTGCATCATTTTATTGCACACTTTTCTCTCCAAAGCAGCTTATTCACAAAGCTGGAGACTGCTGCAGTTACTTTGGGCCCTGCTCAGAGTGTCTGAACTTGCTTTTCTCCTCTTTTTAGGTGTGATGGTTAAATTGAAGTTTCCCAGGCAGAAAGCAAATAGATGGCTTTAATTCCATTCTGTTCTCAGGGTTATTTTAATGTTGTTGGAAGTACCAGCTTTTAAATACCTCACATGACTTCACACTGCTGCTGTTCCTCTGCTTTGTAGCCTTCAGTAATTTCAATTTCAAACTCCAGAGTGCTGTAGTGGCTCCTGTTAGTCCCCAACATGTGCCTCATTTGCCAGGATTATCACCTGCCTAGCTCAGTTAGTTCTCTTAATATTCCTCAGTTTTGTCCTAAATGCTTGTTTTCATTTTGCTCTGCAAACATCTCAGGTGATTGATTTTAAGACCTGAACAGATGGATGTGTATTTTAAATGCCTGACTGGTTCTAAAAGTCAGGATCCTTCTGCAGTTACCTCTGACTAACTGCAGCTGGAAATGGCTTCATAAATCACTGCCTGATGGATGGACCTTAAAAATAATCAAAGCACACTTGGGCAGCTCTGTGGAGGGCTGAGCATATGAACAGTAAAGCCAGTGTTTAAAAAGGTGTGATGGATGTTAACAGGGAATATTTGTCTTTTTTCTTTTTGTGGCTGTGTTCTCGCAGAGATCAGCTGGGCTGTTCTGGAGCCTTTCCCTGTTTGTTAGGTGTGTGTGCAGTTCAGTTTTTCACTGAGATGGTTCCAAGTGCTGGGTTTGTCATTTTTGTGTTCTGCTCCTGGCTCTCCTGAGAGCAATAAACATCCAGGTAGTCTGAAACTACAGATCTGCAGAGAGCTTTTCATGCCCCCCTGCAGGAAACACAGTTTTCTCAGGAATTTCTCTCCCATAACCCCAGATCCTGATTAATAAATATCTGTCTGTGCTATTAGATTACCTGATCTAAAAGGAATTAAAACTCATTTCCAGTAAACTATTGCTACTTGGAGTTAATCCTTAGGAGCCTTGCTTATTTAATTAATGTTTTAATACTAAATGGCAGCATTTTGTCCTGTTTGGTTCACTGGTTCTGCCCTTGTCTTCAGGCACTGAAATGACTTCATTTGGAATTATCCAAATGTCAAACTCATCTCTTGGAGAAATAAATCAGAAGGTCCTGACTTCATTTTCCCTGTTTACCTCAATGTTTAAGCATCAGCCTGAGGAGTTTTGAAAGTACAAAACTTTCACCTATCATCTCAAGGAAAATAAGATGGTCTGCTGTCAACATCATCTGTAATTAGTGAAGAGGAGTGTTTGGAACAGACAGTAAAGTGACTGTCACTGTCTTGAGCATGAAGGGAAAAAAGAAACCTGCAAGCTTTATGTTAGATTAATTCTTGTTGCTCAGGCTGTTTTTCTCAGCATTATGATAACATTGTACAGCTATTGATTTATTCAAATCCTCTTTTGGAGTTGGTCTTTTTATGTGTCTTCCTCACCTCTGAAAATTGAATAAGCCCCAGATAACAACTTCAGACCCAGTATTTTGAAAAAGAAGCTATGAACTGCTGAAGACAATCTTCTGTGCAGATCTGGCATTCAGGTTTTTTCTTAAAATAAGCTTCAGGAAATATTTTTCCGAAGAGATATTGTGTTGTATTTTGACTATATTATAAATTGGCTTTATCAGTTTTGTAAGAGGTGATTTATTTCTTTCCCCTCCACACATGCCCAGGCTGGTGAAAATATAGAACTGAGTGTCTTCTAATGGCTTTTTTGCTTCAGAAATGCTTAGTAAAATTTTTATTTTCTCTCTTTAATGTCCCTTGGCAAAGCCAAATTTTTGGTTTAGGTAGAGTAGCTGTTATTATGGGCATATGAGTGAGGAGAGCTGAGATAATTGTAATTAACCCATGCTTGTTCTCCCCACACTGCTGATTTCTGAATATTCACTTAGTGTCAGCTTTAATGCACTGAGCAGAGTGCTCTCCAGAGGGTGATGGCTTCAGTGCTGAGATCCCTGTGTTCATTTAAAAGTCCCAGAGAATTCCCCAAGGAACAATTTGGCCAGGATTATCCCCTTGTCCTGCAGTACCCACGGGGACAGGGCTCAAGGAGCCAGGGACAGAGTGAGGGCTGGGAGTGCTCTGCATGCTGGCACCTCCCAGCTGCCCTGCTCTAGGACAGCACTGTGCTCCTGTTTGCTTTCCCCTCCCATATTCCAGTACAAAAGGAATGCTTCTCCAGCCTCCCTCCTGCTTTTGTGTTTGCTAACTGCAGCAGTTTGTGCCTTTGAGGGTCCCCAGAGCCCTGGGGGAGCTGCTGCTGTGTTTGGGTGGGAAGCACAGGCAGGGGTGACAGGCCCATGACAGCTGAGCTGGCTTTTTTGGGTGGCTGAAGAGAGGTGCCATTCACTCTGTCACCTTTTTCTAGGTGGAAACAATGTTTTTCAACATTTGCAAGATTAAAGAAGAGCAGGAGAGGAAATATAAAAAGAGATTTTGTTTGTCTCTGGAAGGAAAACATTTTTTTTGATCCCCAGGACAAGTTTTTGGTGGGGATGAGGGATTATTTGGTGGGGTGGGATGAAGTGTGCTTGGTGGTTTTTTAGGCTGCAGTGAGGAGAGGAAGAAACTGAGATTCTTTTTAAGAGATGGTGGAAGAAGGGAAAGGAAGAGGAAAACCACATTGAGGAGGTGAATAGGCAGACAGCACAGCAGAGCTGCCCCAGGAGCTGGCCATGCATGGGCTGGACTAGAGCAAGCTGGACTTTGGAGTGGCATTTCCAGCTCTTTTTAAAACAAACCAAAAAAATTTACTTCAGACATGCTTGTATAAATGACTGCTGCTCCTTTTGTTCATCTGACTGGATTAAATTGTTTGTTTATAAAGAATTGTTTAGCAATGAGTTTTGTTTTGTTCAGTCTGTTAGATCAGAAATGCTTCTTGGATCCCTTAAGGGA